GAAGTGAGTGTTCTTCTCTTGACTTGTCCTTAACGACATGATTTTAATGCCATCTACAAATTTATCTGTACGGCATTTTGCAATGTAGGTTGCTGAAAATGAAACTGTGTATGATAGATAAGTAGCCTTGCTCCAAGTCTGTACTGAGAGAAAACTCCATGGATGTGTAGTAATTCCATCCTCCTAATAAGCAAGTCTAGATATTAGGACTCTAGACTCATTATAGGGACAACATGTTTGTATTATTTACATTATCTAGAAATTATTATTTAAACTAATAATTATTGCCTTAGAGACTTGTGCCAGTCTAGATAGACAAGTAACTGTACGAGTCTCGAACCACATAGTATGTACTGTATATTGGTTCAAAGGGATACTAGCTGTGCAACAACAAAACTTTATTGACACATGTACCCTACAGGCCTCGGATGACAGTTGTGTCAATAAAAAATCTATTTTTTTTATCGCTACGTATACCTATGATTAAATAATTAAGTCTCGTACATCCAGCATATCATACTTACACACATGTACATTATTGCTCTTAGACTTACAATACAACTGGATACAAAATGTAGTATCTCTATACATAATCATTCTATACGTCTTTGTTCTAACTGAATATTCAAAAAGGGATTCAAATGACAAATATAAATAAATAATCTGCAGATGTCAACCAAAATGTCAACCAAAATGTCAAGTAAGCAACAGAAATAAATAATTTAACACATAATAAAATTAAAGTTCATTTGACCTCTTAAAGAAATATTGATTCGTTATAGTATAGGGTTTCGAAAATATGAATATTTATCCTAAAAAATATATTAACCACATTGTCGCAAAATGTTAAACGACAACTCTCTCTAATACATGTACGTAGTTTCCTAAAATGGAGGAATGTATTGCTTGCAAGAAAGTATTTGACTGCTCTCCACTCGCATCCGTCGCCTAATGCGGTTTTTCAGTGCATGTTCAAAACAAGTCTTGCTTCTTTGTTTTCGGACCGATTTGACCTTGACCTGTGTTTTCGGAGCGCTCTTTGGTATTAAATATCAACTGGTTGAAACTGGCAAGAAGCGGTCGCCACAGTGTTGTGTTTTGACCCAAAAATAGATTTTTTATTTGTTTGAACAAAAAGCGACGCGCTATATTTGGCTCGAATGCACCTTGAATGGGCCTTAACTACGAGATATTTCTAAACTCGGAACAATATAAGCAGGTGTAAAGCTTTAGAGGACGTAAGGTCCTTTTGTTAGTATTTAGTTTCATTGTCTGGAAAATAGAATTCTTGCAGTGTCTCTGTATTTTCTTTTCTATAAAGCTCTGCTGGGTCGAGTATATTATGAATTAAGGATATTAATATTATGTTATTATAATACGTTATTTTTAATAACCAGAGCTTAATAGGTAATATTCAGAAAATTCCTATTACACAGCAAGGTGAATATGTTCTCTAATGCAGAACTTGCAGCTGACACGCTTCAGAACGTTTCCCGCTTTTGAATAGAATTTTGACTCCTCGGGTCAGCGTAGATGTGACCTACATACCTATATATTACCGGCACGGATATAGCTGAAATTATTTTCACTTTCAGAAGGTGAGGTGAAATGGAGTTTGTGTGTTTGTGTGGCTGCTTGTACTAGACCGGACTGATGCCGATTTATAGTGCTAGCCCACTGAGATACCCTGACGCAGTTTAACATGAATACCCCACCCAGACACAGTATACTGACTCCGAGCCGACCAGTCCTTGTTTTAGCCCCTTAATGCCGAGCACCAGACAGGGTAACAACAAGTACCATCTTTTAACGTCTTTTGGTATGACGCGGCCGGGGATCGAACCCCGGACCTTCCGCTCTCCGGGCGGACGCTCTACCTATAGACCACGGAGGCGGGCTTCACTTTCAGTAATTGTCGCAGGGCGTAATAAATAATAAATGTAATAAATAAGTAATAAATGTTTTCTAACAGAAATGCATTTACTTTCTATTCAATTACTCATAAGACGCTGAGCCTATTAGAAAAGTATTGCAAACAGACCACGGTGTCATCACACCATGGAATAACCATTGTTCAACTGATTTCACTATTTTCGAAGAGGCCCAGATCAACTTGACGTCATATGAACGCATTGTTGGAAATAATTGACGATGACGTCATGACGACATTATCGAGTAACTGAGCAAATGTCTCCATTCGGGATAAGGATACCCAGATTGTACTACATTTTCTCACAAACAAGACGGGGTAATATAAAGAATAACCAACTTGTGAATCGCAGTAACGTATTATCTGTCTCTCCTGAATTAATGTTGAAAGTTCCTTGCCAAGGCTCGGAACTCACTCTGGACAGACAATCCGTAATTTTTAGTTGCAAGATTCCAACATTAAATTTTAATCTCTGAAATGAAAGCATATTAAGATTGTCTTGTTTTTTTTTAAATTTCTGATACTGAAGACATTTAGACTTTCTTGGGACTTTTCGGGTAGTTATGTTTCAGAGTTCGCTTAAAGCGAACCGACGGATATAACGATTTCTTTTGGTCCCGTCCGTTTGCTGTATATATGCTTAGAACGAACTACGGTTATAACGAACTAAAATTCTTATGGGCCCTTTGAGTTCGTTATAACCGTAGTTTACTGTATATTGATTTGCATTTATACCATCTCATCTAAATTGATATCAGCTGCAGAGCTTTGAATATTTCACATTAGCAATACTATGTTATACGATATCGATTTGGGATATCAAAATTTTCATTTACATGTATAAAAAGTTTTTACATTTATGATTTAGCGATCGAATAATTAAAATTAATCACGAAGCACACGGTTTACTTATAGCTTCGTACCCGCGATGATCCGCATAAGAATTGGTCTTCAGCAAGCCATGTGTGTTGCAAGAGGCGACTAACGGGATCAGGTGGTTAGACTCGCTGACTTGGTTGATCGTATCCCAATTGCTTAGATCGTAGATACTCTTGATGTCAATCACTGGATTGTCTGGTACAGATTTGAATATTTACAGACCGCCGTCATATAGCTGGAATGTTGCTGAGTGCGGCGTTAAACATCAAATATAATCGAAAAAATGTAAATAATGGAATCTGGCAATTTTTGTCCAAACTCAGACTCGGAACGGGTTTCGCAATGATAATGTGTGACCGGAGTCATTATCGGTTACCCTAACCCGACAGCGGGGATCGTTGCTCATTTTATCAACCTCTGGTTTGTCCGACAGTTACTATCTTTCACATGGCGCCGTGACATGAACTACTCAAAAGAGGGGCGGTCGGGTAGCCTAGTGGTTAAAGCGTTCGCTCGTCACGCCGAAGACCCGGGTTCGATTTCCGACATGGGTACAATGTGTGAAGCCCATTTCTGGTGTCCCCCGCCGTGATATTGCTGGAATATTGCTAAAAGCGGCGTAAAACCATACTCACTCACTACTCAAAAGAAGCTAAAGAACACCCAATTCTTTCATATTACCATGCAATGACAGATTAATAACTAAAGTAACACGAAAGAACCGGGTGTTCTTTTGAGTATAGCTTGACTATTGTTAAGTGCGGCGTAGAATTTTGATGTTTCATAATGTTTAGTATGCAATCAATCAAACCCGAAATTGAGTAAGGTCATAATTTGTTAAATATTATTGCATTTTACGACACTTCAATCGTTATCGTTAATTGTCTGTCTCAACCTCCTTGCAATTTTGCAAAGATGTAAAATATTAAACTTTCTGATATATTGTGTAAATATAACTATTTGCAGACATAATATTGGTTTGAAAAACAGAATATTAAGTATTGTTAAAGATTTTGATTTTGAATAAAAATCATAAAAATTGACCACATTTAATGGTACAGCCTTGCAACCACAATTGACAGGTCTACAAAAACTGAACCATCAAACTGTTGACTACTGTCTGAATAACACATTATAGTATAAATTGCATTTATAGCGCAATGTTTAACAACACATACAACTCAAAACATATCTTGCAATGAGGATACTTGGTATTCCTGTGTATTGTCAAAAACCAGGTGAGGTTATATGGGGTTTAACGCCTTACCAAGATGATTGCACAGGTTGATGAGTATGCGCTTGACCCTGCTTGTACTACTCTGGACCAATGCCTGTTTTATGACAATAGTACCTTGAGATACCATGCTGCAGTTTAACATTAATGCTCCACTCTGACACAATATACTGACGATTCCTGTTTTATCCCCTCTAAACAAATACTCAGTTAATCTGGATATCTGTAGCTACCCGAACTGACTGCATCACACCCTTACAGTGAGTGAGTGAGTTGGGTTTAACGCCGCTTTTAACACTATTCCAGTTATATCACAGCGTGTCAGCTTAATGTGGGAGGAAAGCCCAAAGTGATGCAGGTCTCGGACATTTACCAATTCGGTGAAACCCAGGAGCACGGGTATGGTGCTGACAAACCTAGAAACATAATCGGGGCGAACCGGGATTCGAACCCACAATCATAGGTTTCTGGCGTGCCCAAGGGACGCAACTCTGCACAGCGAGTTGCGGCGCCTTAGACGACTGGGCCACCTGTGCCCCCCTTACAAGCATTTAGCACTTTGTAGAGCAGTTCTCCCAAGGTGACCTGAAGTGAAATGGTTCATGTTCAATATTACATGCATGTGTGTGTGGCTGTTTGTACTAGTCCAGACTAATGCCGATTTAATAGTGCTAGCCCACTGAGATACCATGCCGCAGTTAAACATGAATACCCATCTCAGCATACTGACTCCGAGCCGACCAGTCCTTGTTTATTCCCTGTCATGCCAAGCGCCAGGCAGGGCAACAACAAGTACTACCTTTAAATATCTTTTGGTATGACGTGGCAGGGATCGAACTCCCTACCTTCTGCTCACCAGGCAGACACTCTACCACTAGACCACGGAGGTGGTCCTTGTCTTCAGGAATTCCATCAACCCTGTGATTCATCAGTTCCACACAACCAACCAGAACAGTCTCATGGTGTACTCCTTTATTCAGGTCATACAGACAGTCACCGTCTGTCCTCATTCAAATTTACACCAAAATGAAACCAACTTGCATCTCTACATAAGCCTGGACACACTGCTAACTACAGGAAGGGGAGAAGGGGAGAAGCGACTCGCCTCACATAATACAGTCCTTGTCCCCGTTCCATAAAGGGATCTTAGTGCTATGATCGTAATCTTACAGTTGGGAGTTACGGTTGCTTTAGCGCTACGATAAAGAATGGGAGTTACTTTCGCCTTTGCGCTAATATGTAAGTGTATGTTCAAATATGGGATTTAGCGCATAAGCGCTAAGATCACTTTGTGGAACTGGGCCTTGGTCTCCCTCAACACCAGGAAACGCTGTACTAAAGTGAGTGAGTGAGTTGGGTTTAACGCTGCTTGAACAGTTTTCAGTCATATTCCTGCTTCCACTTTAACGCAGGAGGAAAGATCTGAATGTTGTACATGGTAACCACTTTGTGATGTCACAAACACATGTAAAGATGTGTGTTGACAGACAGATCATAACCTGGGTGAATCCTGTCTATCTGGTATTCAAGCACAAGATCAGTGGATCCTGACAGGACAAGGGACACAACTCTGTCCAGGGCACTGTTCCACAAAGCAATCTTAGCGCTACGACTATCGTAAGCTAGTGTTAAAGTATGGTAGTTACGATCACCTTAGCGCTAAGATGGCTTTGTGGAACGGGGCCAAGCACACAGTGGTGCCTTAGAGACTGACCAACTGACCCTGTTCGGTTCCGACTACCACACGGCATTCCACATTCAGGTGAAATTGTTTTGATCGTGATGTGGTGTCTTGAACTTCACATGAATTCACAAATAAAAACAGTTTTGTCTTTTGATCATGTTGTTTGCAAATGACAATAATTCCTTTTTTTAAAAGTAAAAAACAAAGTATTTGAACATAAGAATGCAAATGTTACATGCTTAAGGCTAATAATATCCGTAACGTGTGCAATCAAAACACAGTCTTTAGGCTGAAAGAGCCAACAGTACTGGGCAGTAATTCAAGAAGTCACCAACAGTACTGGGCAGTAATTCAAGAAGTCACCAACAGTACTGGGCAGTAATTCAAGAAGTCACCAACAGTACTGGGCAGTAATTCAAAAAGTCACCAACAGTACTGGGCAGTAATTCAAGAAGTCACCAACAGTACTGGGCAGTAATTCAAGAAGTCACCAACAGTACTGGGCAGTAATTCAAAAAGTCACCAACAGTACTGGTCAGTAATTCAAGAAGTCACCAACAGTACTGGGCAGTAATTCAAGAAGTCACCAACAGTACTGGGCAGTAATTCAAGAAGTCACCAACAGTACTGGGCAGTAATTCAAGAAGTCACCAACAGTACTGGGCAGTAATTCAAAAAGTCACCAACAGTACTGGGCAGTAATTCAAGAAGTCACCAACAGTACTGGGCAGTAATTCAAGAAGTCACCAACAGTACTGGGCAGTAATTCAAGAAGTCACCAACAGTACTGGGCAGTAATTCAAGAAGTCACCAACAGTACTGGGCAGTAATTCAAGAAGTCACCAACAGTACTGGGCAGTAATTCAAGAAGTCACCAACAGAGAGATGGAAGTTTGGCAAGGGATGAAGATATAATACAGGCTAACAATCAAATATGCATAAGTTGACACAAGAGCTTTCACTACTTTGCACTCAAATGGGTACATCTATTTTTAATCCTAAACCTTCCAATAAAAAGTGAAGTGTTTAAAATACATAAATACAATAAATGCCACTGCTGTCACAACCACTGTGATACAAAACAAACCTTAATCACCGACTACAGATGTAATGCAAACTCCACACAGCGTTCTCCTGTTTAACTCAGCATTGAGAACAAATACAAGCCCTGCTGGGAAGTAGGCACTGTCAGCCATTCATTTCCAACAAAGCTTTCTCTTTGTATATGACGTGTGACCATCGATCAGCCATAGTCTCTCATATAAAAGTAGGTAACTGGTTATCAATGATACACGCATGATGGTGTTGGTTGGTTTAACTACTAATGGATAAGATGGGTTATGGACACTAACAGTCTTATGCCAAGCCATCTTCAGATAACAAGGGTTATCCCCCTTTGTTTCTATCTACATCCCATTGTGTTGCTGTTTGGGAAGTTAAATATCAGACGATGATAAACACTTATTTAAAAAACAGACAACATAATTATTTCCAGTAGAATGTACGTAAATTCTTGGTCAACAATGGTCAAGAGCTGTCTACACCCAATCAATTAAGAACTCACACTTTAAAGTAAGTGTAATCAAGTGTTAAGTTTCACTACGATGACATACAGGCCCCCTGGGCAAATTTGGTACAATAAAGACCTTTAAATACACACAGAATCTACAAATGTGAAGCGTGAGAAGATGTTTTGGTATAAAAGATGCGCTGAAAATATGACCAATAGGAGTGGTGTTACAGTGAGAATATTGACCCCTCGGATGGGCGTTATAGAAGAACATCAAACCCCCAGTTGTGTCAACACTGTACCATCATCACACCAGTAACCATGGTAACAAATACTTTCCTCCCAACTCCACCAACATCATGCAATTTGTACAATGTATATGAAACAGTTTTGTGTGAGTTTCACAGGCCAATAAAAAAACGGGCAATGAGCATCACCACAATGGTATTTCTATACACAATGGTATTTCATATCACACTGCTATAGGTTTCTCATATAATAAGAACAGTATTCACAAATTTGGGTTGAAAATTATGTACAGTTTTATCTATTTGCTTCCACTCAAACGTCAAATTAACACGAGACTGAGATGTTAATTAAGGCATGAACAAACAAAAAGGCCAAACAGAAAATAAATCCTGTGGTTCCAATCTTATGAATTAATCAGGATCGTTTTTTCCAAATTAATTTTTGTTCATAAGATATAACTGATCTTATAGGGTGAAATCGTAGTATTTTCTAAATAAAATTACGTAACCATGGAAACTGTGAAAACAACTTGTTTTACCACAATAATGATACCTTATTGTCTCACTGTTCATAATTTGGAAATTCAAACTTGCACGGGGAACACCCTAAACACTTGGCACCCTGCTCCAAGAGATAGCCTGATCTTTTACCTGAATAATCTAGTTAGAAACACAAGATATTCAGGAACCATAATACTATTTCACATAGGTCATAATAAATAAAGAGTTCGTCTGGAGAGAAATGTAGCAGGTCTGAGGAAACAGCTAAAGGAAGAAATGAACTTCTCATAAATAGAATCATGCTCACAGGTCAGCTTATGTACATCCAAGGCATCAGCTACTGAGAAGGAAATGTGCAAAATAACACAATTCTAGAAGTATTAATCCACTGAAGTTATGTCATATTCGTCTTCTTCAGCATTTTCTGTGACTCCCTCTTTTTTGGAAGCATTTTCTGTAACTGCCTCTTGTTTTGAAGCATTTCCTGTAACTGCCTCTTGTTTTGAAGCATTTCCTGTAACTGCCTCTTGTTTTGAAGCATTTCCTGCAACTGCCTCTTGTTTTGAAGCATTTTCTGTAACTGCCTCTTGTTTTGAAGCATTTTCTGTAACTGCCTCTTGTTTTGAAGCATTTTCTGAAACCGATTCATTATTTAAAGCATTTTCTGTAACCACGGAGACTGCCTTCTCATTTGAAGTATTTTCTGTAACTGTCTCCTTGCTTGAAGTATTTCCTGCCTCTGGTGTTGTTTTTACTTCTGCAGTTTCTTGGGTTTTTTGTTCTGATGGTTTGGACTCTGTGGCCAACTGCTCGGCTGTGGAGCTGGATGGAGGGGGGACTGGCGGAGTTGCCTCCCCTGAATCTGAGGGCGCCTCTTCATCTTTAACAGGACTGTTTCTGGATGTTGTTTCAGGTGTGTTGGGCGGGGTCGCTGTGGGTTCCCCCTTATCACCATTTGCTTGTTGTAGGTCTACACAAATAACAGAACAATTACAGAGCATGACAATGAACATGTTTGTTTGTTTGTTTGTTTGATGTTTAACCAAACACTCAGCAATATTCCAGCTATATGACGGCGGTCTGTAAATAATCCAGTCTGGACAAGACGATCCAGTGATTGATATCATAAGCATTAGTCCACGTAATTGGGATACGATGACAAGCATCAACCTAGTCAGCAAGCCTGACCACCCAATCCTGTTAATCGCCTCTTATGACAAGCATAGACTTCTGAAGACAATAAATATGATATTCATGACATCAATATGATCAACAGAACAGATGTGATTGACTGAGCATGGCTTTAAGTAGATCATAGACCAAATTTACTACCCGGGGAGCTTGGACTAGACAATTCAGGGATCAATATAGTGACAATCCACATCTTCGAGGAATGATGACATACATATCAGCCAAGGCACCAAGCCTCTGATGTATTAAGTCGCCACTTAAGGCCAAGGTGAGGTGAAATGGGGTTTAACGTCGCGTCCAAGATTATTGCACGAATATAGCGACGTGCATGTACGTGTGTGTGTTTGTGTGGCTGCTTGTACTAGTCCGGACTGATGCTGATTTATAGTGCTATCTCACTGAGATACCATGCCGCAGTTTAACATGAATACCCCACTCAGACACAGTATACTGACTCCAAGCCGACCAGTCCTTGTTTTAGCCCCTTAATGCCGAGCGCCAGACAGGGTAACAACAAGTACCATCTTTTAACATCTTTTGGTATGATGCGGCCGGGGATCGAACCCCGGACCTTCCGCTCTCCGGGTGGACACTTAAGGCCAAATAGGTTGATGATGACCAATTCCAATCTGGAATCTCCACAGGGTGATAAGGAAGATGGCAGATGATATTTACACATTAGTGAAAACAACAAATGGATTTCTTCGACTGTCAGAAGATTAAGCATGTGGAACTATTGACCGGAGGTACTCACCATCGCTGACAGCTGCTGATGGTGCCGTGGATTTCTTCCCATGAAGCTCACTCTGCAACGCTCGGCATAATGACTCCAGCTTGCTTACTTTCGTTAATAACACGCCCTTCTCTTTGTCATATTTAGTTTTCTGAAATAAACATCACATCTCTAATATAAAGTTACCCCTATCAGTTCAAAATGTGAAACTGGTTCAAACCAAGTAGCAGGTAGTTCTAGTAATTGTGTAAGTTTTATTTGTCGTTTAACGCACACCCAGCAATATTCCAGCTATATGACGTCAGTCTGTAAAATATTGAGTCTGGACCAGACAATCAAAGGATTAACATCATGAGCATCAATCTACACAACTGGAATACGATGACACGCATCAACCAAGTCAGCGAGCTGACTACCCAATCCTGTTAATTGTACAGACAGACAATGCACCACACAAGGCCATGTGCACCATGATATTTCCAAAACAATAGACATGGAGGCCTGTCTACTCATGAATTAAATGAGATTACAAAGTTACAATTACTTCTACCACTAATATATTTACTTATATTATATTTACAATTTTACACAGATTTTTTATTACGGCTAGGTTCCTGTTTTAACCAATATTTACGAATTTACAGCTAAAAAAAAAACCATTTTAAAACTTCGACAAAAGAGCAAGCATCTCAAGCAGCTCAAATTACATAACAGCTTCATTATGAGCGAATCCTATTCAGTATTGTGGGAACTAAAATTAGCCTTCCAATCAAATAAGACATTCAAGAAATTCTGAGCAAGATTACTGAAAAGAAAGACGAAGATGGTGACATCACGAAGCTAGTGGAGACTACATCCACTGTACGTATAATAGAATGGAGACATAATTAACATGATAATCGGGGATGCCTCAGATAGTAAACAGATTGATAGCAAGCATCGTTAGATTACCCTATTTATCTTACACCAGAAGAGAACCATCTTCCCGAGGCAAGGGCGTTAACTGACTATAAAAGTCCAGTTTACACCCTTGCCGAACAAGGCTGGAATTTCCAGGCTCGATCTTAGCCCCGTGGCTATTATTATTTGTGTCCCACTTCTCATATCACTTGCATTTGCTTCAAACTAACGGCGGCGCCCAGTCAAGACGACCTGATCGATCATCAAGATCTATATTGTAAAACAACAGGTCTAACTTCGCGAAGTCACTAGATCACCTTGACTACAACTTGAAAAAAGATTTGCAAAATATTTGTCAACCTCCAGAGGCGTGTTCAGGAGGGCGGGTCACCGCGCGAGAGTACAGTGAGGCAATATCACGCCTTTCTGAACGGGAGGCTGTACTCGCTCTCACGGCACAGAATACAAAATGGCATCTCACAGGTTCACACATAATTTTATCACAAGTTTGATGGGTTCATACTTTGATGTTCATGATAACAAAGTGTTTATTTTTATTATTAGTCACATGTCCCTGTGCTGGACCAGACAATCCAGCAATCAACATGAGCATCGGTCTGTGCAATGGGGAAAGTCAGCGAGTCTTATCACTCGATCCTTACGGCAAACATATGGGTTGCGGAAGACCTATTGTCTTCCTGGATCATCATGGGTCAATATATTGAAAATGCAAAAATAACTTTTTGATGGTAGATCTAGTCTAAAAGATTATTCTTTTGACATCGGTTCCATTCTCGTCAAAGGCAATCATTTGTTCAATGTGCTTGGATCTTGCACCATCTTGGATTACGAGGCGAACTACCTCTTGGGCTTGATCGCGAGTACACGCGTGCGCTTGTGCGGTTAGTCGTGTTCAACAGCGCGCCTGCGTAATATCACAAGCGCCCGCCCTCCTGAACACGCCTCAGTTGGCAGTACACATGCTTTGCAAATCCTACAATTGACCGAAATCTGCACATTAAAATCCATGTTGTTTACAAACAAGATGTCTAGTTCTTACACATGATTTTGATTGGACTATGCATAGACTCTTTAGTCCAGACAAAATGTAACTCCAGAATTCCAGCCTAGTTTAGCAAAGGTGGAAACTGGACTGTTATAGTCAGCTTAAACCCTTGTCTCGGGAAGACGGAAAGGACCAAGCCATCATCCATTCCTCTGCATTTCCTGCAGCAGGCCTGGGACACAACACAAACTGCTCACCTCCTCTGCCATGCCTATAAGTGCTCTGTTACTGCTTTCCCACTTGGCTTTCCATTGAGCGCCTTCTTTCTCCAGCTTCCTGATGCGCTTACCCATCTAGAAATAGGACATTGATACGTTGAGTCTTTATATGCATGGCAAGAGAATAAGTCAAAGCCATAATTTATTTCACACTGTTGCAGTTGCTTGTTGTCTAATGTCGCATTGAGCAATATTCAAGCTATACGAGGGCTGTTTATATATAATCAAGCCTAGACCAGACAAACCAGTGACTGATATTATATTCCACTGCTAGAGAGGGCATGTTGACACTCAACCAACCAAATCACAAAGTGTGTCCAGTCAATCCTCCAAATCGCCTCTTACGAAAAGCATAGCTTGCTGGGACCAATTCTAACCTATGGGGGAGACTTTCTAAGAATTTTTTTTTTATATATATTTATTGAAACAAAGTCAATTTTCATATGCAATATTTTACTAATTTCCGTGTTTGATACACAAGTAAGGCAGAAATGTCTGGCTAATTGTCATAAGAGGAGTTTGAAAAGGAAAGATTATTATCCGAGCACATATGTCATGCACGTGTCAGAATTCTTGTATTTCCCGAGTGAGGGTAATAATGAATTCTTACAAGAGTTTCGCAAGATCAGTTTGACTCACATGAGAGTGTAATAATTTCTTTATAATCAATCATTTCTTAATCCTTTTGAGACCCCCTTAGAAAAATGCACTGATCACAATATCCAGATGAAGTCGTTTCTAGTAGGGGGTGATTCCGACTTTTCCTCACACTATGATCAACAATGAGGTGGGGATGACGTGAACAATACACTGGGGAAGTGTGGAGTGATATTTGCACCAGAGCAGATACGTTTTTTATGAACTTGGTTATTTCTAACCCAATGGGTAGTAAAACAAGATACAAAAATACACCCCAAAGTCATTGAGGAGCAATCAGTGTGAAAATATTCTGACTTACTTTGTCCATCTCTGTCTTGAATTTCTGGAACATTTCATTACTCCTGTTGATTGTGCTCTGGAACTCCTCATATCTCTCCTTGTACATCGTTAACTGAAAGTGGAACACAAGAAATGATAAACCACAATGATGGACTTAACAGTATAAGTTGTTGCAGGATCACGAGGGGTGCATGGGGTTTTATGCGTCCCGATCCGGAGGCGAGTGGCATAAAACCTAATGAGTGACAAATAAAACCCCATGTACCCCGAGTGATCCTGCTACAACAAATTTATCTCACCGATATTTTTTAATATGACATTGTAAAATAATTCAAATAAATTCCATATTGATAGAAAAAAGCTGTTCGATTGAGGTTAGGTTAGCTTGTGCAATGTCACGTGACATCCATTGGCTTGGAAAAAGCGTGCAGCTTTTTGCTTTGAAGCGGGGATTAACAGATTAAAGGATTTATTCTGTCTCTCAGAAATGCATGTGCAGCATGTAGAGCTCATGGCGGGTATAAAAGATTTATTACCCTCCACAGCAGGTTACACAGTATTTTATCAAGATCACATGGACCAATCAGATCTCATCATTCTGACATGGATGATGGATGAGTGTGGTTTTACGCCGCTTTTAGTAATATTCCAGCAATATCACGGCGGGGGACACCAGAAATGGGCTTCACACATTGTACCCATGTTGGGAATCGAACACTGGTTTTCGGCGTGACGTCTGACATGGAGGTATGATAAAGTACTTTTTACTCATTGTATCTCTCTGTGTACACATTGTACATGGTTAACTAAAAGTTGAACAAGAACAAGAGGATACAGTCATCCGTATCCCCACCATCCTTGCCATCAGCTCTCCCCACTAGCTATCTGTTACAAGGACGAAGAAACAATGTTTGACTTGACAAAGTCACTTTTCATTACAACACAATCCCCGCTAGCCAGCTGGTACAAAAAGTAGTCATGGTACTGGGGACCTTTTCTCTCCTGGACACCAAGGAAAGTATTTCTTAGCATGCTGAGAACACAAGTACATTTTCCTTGATACATATACAGATTAAAGACAGCAAAATATTCCCACCTGTAAACAAAGCTCCTTTAAAAAAAACTGCAATAGAGTTTACCTGTGTTTCAAGAACCTGTGACTTCTTCTGGGCCTCCGCCGTCTGTAGCAGAAGCTATAACACAGGAGAATCTCGGTGAGTGAGTGAGTGAGTTGGGTTTAACGCCCCTTTTTTACACTATTCAAGCTACATCACGGCATGCCAGCTTGATGTGGGAGGAAAGCTCAAAGTGATGCAGATCTCTCAAGCAGAAAGCATAACCATATCACATATATGTGGAGAAAAACAGCACTGTATTCTTCACAGTGTAATTCTATACCTTAAGGGTGTACAAGTTTGGTCTAATGCTGCTTTGAAGCACCTGATCAAAGCATCTCAGTACAAGTGAGAGATCCCAGGTGTTTACCACTTTGGTCCAGCCCAGAGCCACAGGTTGGGTGATGACAGTGTGATGATCATGATCAGGACAAAACGAGGATTTAAACCCAAACCAGATCCTGTCACAGGTAAGGGATACTACTCTGAATAGTGAAACGATTAATGACACAGGTCTTGAACACTTTGGTGAAACCCACAAGCATTGGTATGGCAAAGACTACTAAGAAAAAAAAGAGGCAAATCTGCACTTTGAACGAACGATCATAGAATCCTAGCATGCCTAAGGGGGACAACTCTGCACTGTGACTTACAAACTCCCTCTCCTTGCCAGACCTCTCCTCCAGCTCCTTCAACATGGCGTTGGCCTGGGCCAGCTTTGCCTCCCCAAGCTGTTTCTCCAGCTCTCGGTGCTGCACGATCTTCTCCACTTGCTGCAGAGCAACACACAAGGACACACTCAGGGCAAATAACAATGTCTTCACATTTCACTCATTTTGTCAACTACACTCGAACCCTAGTACAGTAAACTACGTTTATAACAAACACGCTTTTAACAAACTGACCAATATAACAAACTTATTGTTTAGTCCCAGTCATTTGTTGTATATATGCTGTATATATGCTTATAGCAAACTATGGTTATTACAAACTAAAATTAATGGTCCCCTTGAGTTTGTTATAACCGTAGTTTACTGTATCTTTTACCTAGCTGGACCGTGTTGTAACAAGATAACCAGACATTTGAGATAACAAGGCAGGAACATCCAGACAGATCTAGTAACAGTACTGTATTCTACGTAATAAGCGCCCCGCTGTAATAAGCGCCCACGGCGATATTTGCTAATATATTGGCAAGTGAACAATCCCAATTAGCACCCCTTCTGATTGATCAATGTACACAAGACTTATTTATTCGCGTATAATACGCACTCGTGTGTTATATGCACCTTAAATATGGGCAATTAAATTCTGGAAAAAAATATCTGTCGTATATAAACATTTCAGGCTGTCATCATAAACAACGAATTTATCTTTCAACTCTGGTTTTTTTCAACAAAATAATATTCCAAGAAGAGCCCCCTATTTCTAATTTTGAGATCGCCCTGGGCGCTTATTGCGTCGAATACAGTATGTGCATACATATGCAGCCCCGAGTGAGTATGGTTTTACGCCGCTTTTAGCAATATTCCAGCAATATCACAGTGGGGAACACCAGAAATTGGCTTTACACATTGTACCCATGTCGGGAATCGAACCCGGGTCTTCGGCGGTATATTCAGATCAGGAGATGAGATGACCATCTTAAGTGACAAAAAATACTCCAATGGTCTACTTCTAGTGTATTTCCTAGTAATTGTCTGATAAATTATTAGTCGGACTGAAAGTAGTTCTGCGTTTTGTTTTCATTGTTTGTTGTATGACACTGCATTCAGCTATATGACCATCTGTAAATAATCAAGTCTGGATCAGACAATCCAGTGATCCATATTGTGAGAAACAATACAGGCAGTAAGAGTATGATGACATGCATTAAACTGATTCAGTTTGGTTGCCTCTCACGATCAATATAGTAAACTGAAGACCTATTCTACCCTGGAAACTGCATGGGTGAAAGTAATATTGAATTAAAAAGTGATTTCACTTGGTGAAAATATTAATAATATTTTTCTAGAAAAACCAAGTATTATCAAATCTTGCTATAACCAATAGACAATTATTTTTATTGACTTAACACCCCTCAATGTTTTTATGTTGTTGCAACACTTCCCGGGCTTTAGATAAGACAGGTACTCACCTGTTCTCGTAGTTCGTATTGCTCCACAAATTTCTTCAGTTTCCCTGCCAGTTCAGTATTGTCTTCTCGTAGTTTGATGTTGCGTTCGTGATTGTCGGTCATCTGACTCTGAATCTCGCCAATTGTTTGCTGGAATCAAATAAATGATTGGCAATTAGGGACAATGTCAGCTGATAACATTAAAGTTTATTCATTGCAGAGTTCTGATTTGATTAAATAAAGTACTCAAAACAGAAGTTCAAGAACCCCTGAATCCATCATTGGTTGGTTGTTGGTTTGTTGTTTAACGCCGCACTCAGCAATATTCCAGCTTTATGACAGCAGTTTGTAAATAATCGACTCTGGACCAGACAATCCACTGACATCACGAGCATTGTTCCACGCAACCAAGTCAGCGAGCCTGACCACCCGATCCCGTTAGTCGCCTCTTACGACAAGCATAGTCGCCTTTTACGGCAAGCATGGGTTGCTGAAGACTTATTCTACCCCGGATCTTCACGGGTCTGATTCTATCAAATTTCTACAGTAAATCTGTCCTCATGACAAACCAACTCCAGTAATATTAAAAGAATCAGGTGTTCTTTGACTTCATTTGAGTAGAATATATCAATGCTCACTTGGAAGATGCTGTAATTTTTAATGTAGGCTTATGATAACAGGCATTCTAATTTGATTTCAGGTCAATCTCATCAAAAATGAGATCTTAGTACTCGTTATCACTACACACAGACCTGAGGACATTCCATTACAGATCATGACTTTCGCAAACTTTGAAATGACTAACAAGAGGCGACATTAGCCAATCAGAAAGCAGCTTTCTTGACCTGTACAACGCTAGTTTCAAAGTTTCTCATAAGGAACGCTCTGATTGGTTGGATGAAAGGTCCTTCTGACATGACCTATCCTGGTATATCCTCAGATCTATGTGTGGTTGGAGCGAGCACTGAGATCAGATATGAATGACATTGAGATTCAAGAGAAGTCAGTGATAAAAGAAAAGTGTCATGCCATGGCAGTTAACTACAGTCATACGTTGTTCCCTAACTTCTTTCGTGTAGTATATCATAACAGGATAGAGTCAAGGAAGCCTGGATAAAGATGGGACCACTGTGGTATAATGTTTAAACTCACAGCTGGACATAAAGTCTGTCTGTGGGGGGGGGAGAGTGAGACAGTTTGTTTTGGTTACCTGAAATTTATTTGAGATTTCTTTCCTCTTTTCATCCTCTTCTCTGGCCCGAGCCAGACTCTCCTCCTGTGATGGAATAGATGTTTGTATGAAGATCACAAGCATCAAACATAAGTAACATTACATATCGTTTGTTTGTAGTTTAACGCCGCACTCAGCAATATTCCAGCTATATGACGGCAGACTGTAAATAATTGAGTCTGGACCAGACAATCCAGTGATTGACATCATGAGCATCCCTGTAATTGGGATCGATGACGTGCATCAGCCAAGTCAGCGAGCCTGACCACCCGATCCTGTTTGTCGCCTCTTACGACAAGCAAAGTCGCCTTTTACAGCAAGTATGGGTTGCTGAAGACCTATTCTACCCCAGATCTTCACAGGTCTACACATCGTTAGAAAGAAGCAGGTGAACTAACATTCAAATTGTTTCAAACATTTGTATTAACACTCTGTATAAGGAATGAAACTTGAATCAGTAGCTTCTTTTGAAGTTTACCGGGTCACCAGGTTCACTTTAGCAAATTCAACATAGGAAAAATGAACCTTTCGGTGAAATCAGGTTTGCTTTGATTCATTTGTTGTTGATGCTGCGCTCAGCAATATTCCAGTTATATGACAGCGGTGTGTAAATAATCGAGTCTGGACCAGACAATCCAGTGACTGACATTGTGAGCATTAAATCACATAATTGGGTATGCAATCAACAAAGCCAGGCCACCCGATCCATTTCTAATAACAAGCCTACGTTGCCTGGACCTATATTTTTACCCGGGATCCCCATGAGTGTGTTAATCTTGACATTCATTCTTAAAGTTTATTTTTCAAGGCCTAACAGGCCCTAACTGAGCCTACAGTATCTACTGTCCAGATTGGACACTCACCTTTATGACCCTGTTGTGTTTCTGAAGCTCCCGACACAGACTCTCCAGCTTGGACTTAGCCATCACAGCCTTGGTATGTTCGGATTGAAGTTGGTCCTTCTCCCGAACAGTCTGTCAACAGTTTTGTTTTTCAGGTTAAGGTATTATCTTATAACATGTATTAATAGGAAACCACTTACACGACAGAGATTTTAATAATGAATCCAATACCACACACAGACCCCCCCAACACAAGCCTGCCCAACCAATCCCCCCACCCCCCCCCTCCCCCACACACAGTGTCCAACCCACACAGAGCCTGCATCATCCCCTCCCCCACACAGCGCCTGCCCCCCCCCCCCCCCCCCCCCCTCCACACACAGCCCCCCCCCCCCCCCCCCAAACCCCCACACAGAGCCTGTCCCAACCCCCACACAGTGCCTCCACCACCACAACACACAGAGACTGCCCCACTGCAAACAGAGTGCCTGCCCCACCCCACCCGACACACGCAGCCTGCACCACCCCACACATGCAGCCTGCACAACCCCACACTCGCAGACTGCACCACCCCACACACACAGCCTGCACCACCCCCCACACGCAGTCTGCACCACCCCACACACGCAGCCTGCCCCACCCCACACACGCAGCCTGCACCGCCCCACACACGCACGCAGCCTGCACCACCCCACACACAGTGTCCAACCCACACAGAGCCTGCATCACCCCCTCCCCCACACAGCGCCTGCCCCCTCCCCCCCCCCCCCCACACACACACACAGCCTCCCCCCACACACACAGAGCCTGTCTCAACCCCCACACAGTGCCTCCACCACCACAACACACAGAGACTGCCCCACTGCAAACAGAGTATCTGCCCCACCCCACATGCAGAGCCTGCCCCACCCCACACACACACAGCCTGCACCACCCCACACACACAGTCTGCACCACCCGACACACGCAGCCTGCACCACCCGACACACGCAGCCTGCACCACCCCACACACACAGCCTGCACCACCCCACACACACAGCCTGCACCACCCCATACAACACACAGGGCCTGCCCCACCCCACACAACACACAGGGCCCACCCCACACAACACACAGAGCCCACCCCACACAACACACACAGCCTGCACCACCCCACACACAGGGCCTGCACCACACAATTAGCCTGCCCAAACCCACACAGTCAACATACCACAACCATCTTCCTCTGGGCCTGTTTGAAGGATGCCTGCAAGACTCTATGCTCTTCATGTAGATCAGCATATTTTTTACACAGCGCTGCTAACTTCTCCTCTGTTGTATGGAGGCTGTTGAGGGCTCGCAGGATGTGCTCTGTGGAAACCAAACACAGCAGTCAGCAGCAGGAACAGGTCAACACAACAACATGGTCACACCAAGAGCAGCAAGCCCATGTCGCCAACATCATGCACTGAATATTCGCTTTTCACACAAATTCACATGTGGTACCCACGTCGGGAAACAAACACGGTTCAGTCGTGTTCAAACACATCAGCATCTAGGCTATCCCACCTTCCTGCCCGACAAATGGTGATGTCAATCACTGGATTGTGTGGTCCATATTTATAATGCATCAATTCCACACCCTAAAGCACGCTCAAAGCACTACTTTATTACCCCAGTCAATGGATCAGTGTGCAAGCGATTTTCAATCTCAGCTCCCTGGGGAGTATACAACCAATGCTGCCTGTGAATCGTTAGAGAGTTAGACACAATACAATCTCCTTCGATAGTTACATATCATTGCTAATTGGACTGTCTGGTCCAGACTAGGTATATTTACAGCTTACAGTCACACAGCTGAAATATTTCTAAGTGTGCCATTCGATAACAAATAAACGAACAAACGACTGTCACCTTAGCTTACACACGATTGTGCAACTCGGTTTTCTAAGGCACAGAGATTGAATGATGTCTCGGTGTTTCAGAGAACACATCCATCCAAGGGGAACCAGTAACTATGGTAACCATGTCTACTCTGCAATGCCTGCAAGTCATGTAACAGACCACATTATTTCAGTTACGAACCTGGGAGGCATTGTCTCAACTGTCCCCATTTATTACCTATACTCTTGTCCTCTTTCTTCTTGCTTTTGCCAGATGGCTTGGAGGAGGAGGAGTCAGACTTACTGTCACCCTTGGCAACCGTTGTCGAGGAAACCTTGCTGTTCTGGGACTTGGACTTGTCTGTTTTAGTATCCTGTGTGGAGTCAACGACCGCTGGGGTGGTTTCTATGGCAACAGACAAATAACAGACAATAAGCTTGCAGTGTATCAAGACATCATCAAGTCTTTGAATTTGGATTCTAGAAGTTTATCGAACCTCAAGACGTGAAATTATTTTATGGATAGCAACTTCTTGATTGTTTCTGTCCAAACTGATGAACAGATAATATAACAAGGCCAACTAAAGAAATGTTTGTGTTCCACGTAACCCGACCAACTCAATGTTTTACTTGCGACCCAAATGTTTTTTACAGCGGAAAAGCGATGTCAAGAATATAAAACCATAATGTAACCATGGTAACGGTTGAAAAAAATCTGACGTTTGACGCATATCATGGTTGCTGTAGTTATTGTGACCTACAAATCTGAGGAACATCAGTCCCGAATAAGCCATCAGTGTTAACATTATCAACTAAATATACAACCATGCCTACCAACCCATATCTATTGGGTCCATCTTACCTTAAATATACATATATGTGCTTGGCCTAAGTCACATGTGAAAGGTAACTTGTGGTCAAGAAGAATTTTGTTTGTTTGTTTGTTGTTTAACGCCGCACTCAGCAATATTCCAGCTATATGATGGCGGTCTGTAAATAATCAAGTCTGGACCAGACAATCCAGTGATTTACATCATGAACATGGATCCAGGATTGGGATCGTTGACATGCATCAACTAAGTCAGCAAGCCTGACCACCCGATCCCGTTAGTCGCCTTTTACGACAAGCATAGTTGCCGTTCAAGGCAAGCATGGGTTGCTAAAGACCTATTCTACCCCGGATCTTCATGGATCAGAAGAATTTTGGGCTTTTCAACATGTTTAAGGGATGTACACATGGTATACATGTTATCACTGTTTGGGCTAGTGAATCTTTCAGGCAAGCTCTAAAAATAATTATTTTTTCTTATTTCTGGACGGACACTAAAAACATTTTCAGTGATACTGTTCATTCAGTTGCAAGGTTTTTGAAATGAGTTTGGTTAGTTTTACACCACTTATAGCAATATTCCAGCAATATCACGGCAGGGGACACCAGTAATGGGCTTCACACATTGTACCCGGGTCTTCAGCGTGATGAGCAAACGCTTAAACCACTAGGCTACCAGACCCCCCATTTTTTTTAAAATAGAAAGAAAGCCACCCTGTATACCTAGCCTACTGAAGTACAATCATGATAACCGGGACCACATTATTCTCATTAGGCCTTAACTTGCATCCCTGGAAAGTATTTAAACATGACATGCTCTGGAACAGCCATCCACATGATCCAGAACAAATATCTTAGTGGAGGGGAGACATTCAAGCTAGTTTCAAGCTGCAAATGCCCTATGCAATCGGATGTGTGACCACCTCTAGTGGATAGAGCAGCTGTGAGAGGAAGGTCTGTGGTCCGACCCCAGGCCGCATCTTACCAAAAGATGTTAAAAAATGGTACTTGTGTTTCTACTGGTCGGCTTGGAATCAGTATACTGTGTTTGAATGGGGTATCCATGTTTGGTTAGGTTTGGTTTGTTGTTGTTTAACGCCGCACTCAGCAATATTCCAGCTATATGACGGCAGTCTGTAAATAATTGAGTCTGGACCAGACAATCCAGTGATTGATATCATGATCATCGATGACATGCATCAACCAAGTCAGCGAGCCTGACCACCCGATCCCGTTTGTCGCTCCACCTGATCCGGTTAGTCGCCTTTTACGGCAATCATGGGTTTGCTGAAGACCTATTCTACCCCGGAATCTTCACGGGTCGGGTATCCATAGAGGAGGCATGGTTTCTTAGCATGCTCAGTGGCTAGAACTATAAAACCAGCTTTAGTCTGGACACAGACACACACAAATACACACACATGTGCATGCACTTTTCTATGTAAGTGTAATAACCTGGAAAGTGATGCTAAACCCCATGTGACCTCAACACACCTGGCAATGTCTATTGTATAATACCTGGTGATTCTGATTCTCTGTTAAGCGAAAGGTCTTCCATGTCCCCGTTCAGCCCCTCGTCGCTGATGTCTCCATTAGTATCCACGTCTCCTTCGACTTTAGGCTCTGATGTACTGTCTGGAACAGCCACTTCTTCCTTTTCTGACACCACTGGAGTTACCTCCCTTTGCTCAATCTGGGCCTCAACAGATGGCGTTGTTGAAGATGGCTGCTCCTGAACTTGTTCTACGGCAGTATCCATGGTTTCCTTGCTAGGTTCGTCTGACTCTGAAACCTGATTTAGAAAATGGGTTAATAATGTTTGGAAACATAATTTGCTCTTCCAAAAGCTGATTAGACGAACTGTTAATATCATTTGTTGGGTTATAAAAACGTTGGGTCTTCATTTGCATGCCATCACAAACCTACCGAAAGTGAACAGTGAAAACATGCCACGACTGACGGAAGCCCGATGCAACATCAGCCGACTGCAAACAGGATAATCATCTATGGCTGTAACGGCTAGCCAGGTTTTTTCATGTAGCACCAAGCACCATATAACAAGACTGTGGAACCGTTATCAGACACACGGGACCAAGACGGGACCTTCCCAGATCCGGTCGACCACGTATCACTACTAGACCACAGGTTGGACTGTTGGTTGGTTGGTTGGTTGTTTAACGCCGCACTCAGCAATATTCCAGCTATATGACGGCGGTCTGTAACTAATCGAGTCTGGACCAGACAATCCAGGGATTAATATCATGAGGATTGATCCACGCAATTGGAATCGATGACATGCATCAACCAAGTCAGGGAGCCTGACCACCCGATCCCGTAAGTCGCCTTTTACGGCAAGCATGGGTTGCTGAAGACCTATTCCACCCCGGAATCTTCACGGGTCACTAGACCACAGGACAGATTCATACGACTACTTCATTTACATGAAAGAACCACCACGGTTTAGTGACAAGTCACGTTATATGCTTTGCCGTGCAGATGGTAGAATGTAGCTATGCACGGGATAATGTTATGCACGAAACTTTATACAGGATCCGGACAGATTTGGTGGTGGTAGAATGATGATGAGGGCAGCCATCTCCTACACTCGTAGAACAGACTTCGTGCAAGTTCTGGGGCATTTAACGGCACAACGTTACACAGATGAGATTCTTCGGCCACACTTCCTTCCCATTATGCAACAAGTGAACATCATTTTCCAACAAGACAATACACGACCTCGCACGGCAAGACTGACAACACCCTTTTTCAGGAATCACAACATCCAGGTCCTGCCATAGCCCTCCTGGTCTCCAGATTTAAACCCAATCGAACATTTATGGGATGCACTGGATCAACGACTGTGAGCAAGTCAGCAACAACCACAAAACCTCCACCAGTTGTCACACACTGCAGGCAGAATGGGTGAACATTCCCCAGGCCACAATTCGGGACCATCCATGGGTCAACGATGCCATTCAGTTTTGGACTCTAATGCTGGCCAAAAAATATATTGAGATTAGATGACCTTCACCTTGAAAATCTACTGTTCCATGAGTGCCATATGGAACCTGCGTCAATGACAGTGATGTTAGCCCGTTGTGAACAATTGATTACCATCTGTTGATTATTTATTTCATATATAAAATATACATCTAAAATCACTTCAGCAATTCTTTTTTTGCAAAGTATAGAATGACATCTGTGATTATCTCTATGGAACCTCTAAACATGTCAAATGAAATGCTAAATCTTTATCGGTACTTTAAACATTGGGTTTGGACAAGGACCCCTTGATTTTGAGGGTTATCATGTTGTTAAACCTACACTCATCCTATTTCTACTACTGTTACAAGTGTAATGTAGTCAAAATGAACCTGATCCAAGATGCCTCTGGAAGATCCCAGGTCACCGCGACCCTCACATGAACTTTCAGTGTCTGGTGCGTCAGCCTGGGGTTCATCAACAAATGTCACTCAACTCATGGCTGACATCGGTTCCCAAGTCAGCATAATAACAGAACTACTTCTACATGTTCCACACAGATAAATCTACTGACATATATTTATAACGAATTACATATTAGAATAAAGTGCAGAGATACCATGGATACAGTGATGCAAACTTGGTTCTTACTTTGAAAAATGTGACAAAAGTTTATCTTAATTCAATTTAGTGAGTGAACATTTAATGTCAGTAGTCACAGACGTTACCATGGTAACATGGACATGACAAGGTTTGATTTGGTTGGTTTATTGTTTAATGCCGCACTCAGCAATATTCCAGCCCTATGACGGCAGTCTGTAAATAATGGAGCCTGGACCAGACAATCCAGTGACTGACGACGTAAGCATCGATCCACGCAATTGGGATACGAATGACATGCATCAACCAAGCCAGCGAGCCTGAACACCGGATCCCGTTAGTCGCCTCTCACGACAAGCATAGTCGCCTTTTACGGCAAGCATGGGTTGCTGAAGACCTATTATAACCTGGATCTTCATGGGTGCAATATTATTGCAGTGGTGATACAACTATTGCAACTTCAAATGGTAGCATAGCTGTAGTTTGGTAATATTGCAACAGTCCAGCTAATATATTGCAACATCAAATGGTACTCGGGTAGTATAGATGTAATATTGCAGTAGTCCTGAACCCATAAGCACTTGAACTGTAGAGATTTACTTTGAGTACCCTTGTAAATGTCCAATACACATGTGTGAACATATCCTCAACATGCTGAATAAACAAGAGCTCATCACAAGTATCTTTTCAAACAAGGTGCAGTTTCGACAAACACAAATCATTAATGGCAAATTTATTGACAAACATTACTTACTTTCACGTCATTTATCCAATGTTTACCATGTTTACGTCTGCCAATAGTGTAACATAGCATCAATGTTAACTTTTTAACATGTTACCATGGTAATGGATGGATTGCCACAAATAGCTTACACCCATATAAGTTATCCACTTAACAATGCTGAACAAATTCAAACTTTACCTATGAAGTCAATGACTTAACAAAGACACGCCATCATAAATGCAAATCTAACAGAAATAAGAAACGATCATTCCATACTTACCATTGTCCCCAAATTAGACCTATTTCCTCAAAGATAAATTGTGACAACAATACTTGTTATTATTATTAATACTATTACCACACTTGTAGTTTTGTAAGCTTAAGCACAAATTCCAACGTTCCCCATATGGATGGTAAGTCAATGTGTTCCACACATACACTGTCATTTTATCTAGACACATGAACCCCCTGTTGACAACAGAAGTCATTAGTTACAGATTAAATCTCACTACTTACATCATCGAGAGAACATCATTGCATCACACGGATCAAGTTCCCCTTTATCATGTAAATGATTGCCTTGCTTACATAATCCACACTCTGCATCTGTTCTCATACAATGTCATATTCTGTCAGTTTTTTCGCGATGAACAAATGTGAGATTGGATGCAGAAAAATATATACTGCTTCTCGAGGAATGTACAATAATATTCATTGTACATGCAGCGCATCAAGAGAAGTCATAGGCTTGTTATTTCATCCATTAATCATGTTAATCATAACCACTGATTCATTCCAGGCTCTAAAGTAATTGTCAAAAGGTACAGTACACCACTTCATTACTTGAGAGGACCCTTGTATTGCCTGTAGGGACCCTTAAAATTAAATACCGGGGTCCACTGGACCTCCATTTTTATAAGTCAAGGTAAAACACTGAGCATCCTTTAACCATTTACTAGATTTAGTCTGCAGCTTCAGCATCAATCTGATCTACTCACATGCAATTCGCTGAAAATGTCCCTATCTAGAATGATCTATTTTGTAATAAAACTGTTAGACTGACATTTAGTCCCAGATATAAAGTTATCTTATTTACAAATAAATATCTACGAAATACAAAAATCAAATCAAAATGGAGCCCAAAACAATCCTTAATTTCAGAGCTGAGGCAATCTAGACTTGCCAAATCATTCTAGACTGAGTTGTACTCCTTTGTTATTTTTATATTCCTCGGGTCTGGGAGACAGACTATAAAACTGTCAGCAGGTCAGTAAAGTATGGTCAGTAGACATTCCAGAGTTCCCCACTGACTGACTGCCCAGCTCAATGCAAGGCAGTAACATATAACTATATAGTACATATCAGGGTTTTATGTGGCGCACAAATGTAGGGAAGGGACGCAAGAAAAAATATACTGTGTCCCGAAGGATGCACAATAATATTTATTGTACCTACAGAACATCAAGAGCAGTGATGGGTGGATGTCATTTCATCCATCAACAATGACCTCTATCCACATGATCACTGATTCATTCCAGGCTCTGTAGCAATTATCATAATGTACAGTACACTACACCATTTCATTACTGTACAGGACTATCAAATGTCCAGCAAGGATCCTTAAAAATAATTATTGGGGTCCCCAGGACCCCCAGTATTGTAAGTCAAGGTAAAATCCTGATACATGTATATATATATATACCGGTATCCAAACATATTATTAGATTTTCATATACTTTCTGCATGTGTTCTGTATCGTGTGCATGGGAGTAGCTAGAAAAATGCACCTGGTTTCAGCTCATGATTAGTCAGGGTGACCTCTTGTTTATGCAGCTTTTGAAGGGGACAATTTCCTCAAGTGTTTGAATTTAACCGATGAGCTGAGGTCTGTTCACCACGTGTTATCAACAAGTGTCAACTCCCCACAAGAAACACATGAACAGTAATCATGGTCTTATATCATTTATATATCCCCATAATATTTAATAATAAAATTTGCAACATGTCTTATGTACATCTTCTCAACAAAACGAAGTATTAATCAGGTAACTCTTATAACAAATATTAATGATGTAAACATATTTTGTACAAAGAGTCAACTGGCCTTCATACAATACATCTGTCCTCCTGTCTATATCCCGATGAATCACTGATTGTATTTTTACAATTTAAACATGTTTTGTAGCAACCTGAGGCAATGAAAAGATGTTAGGAGAAGAAGTCATTGGAATCTTAAATGCTTTAATTTAAGCATGTTTAGTTATGAAAAAGTGTGTAAAACAAAAATAACGCCATCTTTTGTGATCAGCTATGTCGCAAAAAGGACAAAACTGAAAAGCATGTAAAAGTTGACATGTTCAGAACCTACTGCAAAAGAGCAAAAAACAAAGATACAAGCTTCATACACAACAGAACAATATGCTTAATAACAGCACCAGGAAGATGATAAGGACAAAACATCAACACTATCCTAAGACAGTTTGCCTTCATAAGCATGATAACGTCAATATGGTACAAGAAGAATTTCAATATTTAAAGAAAACCTACCGAATCGGAATCAAGTGTAAATTAATCAGACACTTGCCATTATTTATATTAGACCTCATAAGTAAGTACAAAGGATCTAGGTCCTGTCAGAAATCCATGATAAAACAGGATGCAGTTTCTATCTTAAACCTTCCTCAAAACTGAAAACTTCATAAATGATCATTGAACCATGGCCACATACCTTTATCTTTATGAAGCAATAGAAACTAACAGTTTCAGGCCACTAGTCCTTAAAGTCCTACAATTTATTGTTTATGTTATAACTTTATATGCATTTTTCCTGCACCACCTATGGTGGTTTCTTGGAATATAACATTGATTGATTGATTGATATAATGACAACATATAGCAAAACCCTCAAAAATGGCAAATTTCTACTAGTCCTTATGATACCTAACCATTGTTAACTATTGGTCAGTTTGGCAAGGTCTACAGCCAGGTCCAGGACTAGTGCCAATTTCTAACGCTGCTGTGTAAACTGGTCAAGGCAATAGACCATGCTACTCAACACTACCTCTACTGCGAAGCACACTTAATGTCTTCTGAACTATTGTTTAGTGTGGATAGATTGTTTCTTGTGTTACTCCATGCTTGGCAATATTTCAGCCTGACAGTGATTTTGACACAAAAATCTGTTTATATAGAACAATGACTTGGACCCAAGAAATGTAATAAGTCAATGGCAAAAGTCAGTATGTCAAATCAACAAAAATGGCGGACATACCACAACAACAAATCAATGCAATACCATTTGTGATCCAATGATAATATATGATGTGGCCATGAACGTGGTGATAAGAAATGCACTTGACTAAGTCAATGTAGCTCGAGACAGCGTTTCCCTATGATACAGAAAGTATGATGCAAAGATATGCGCTGCTCAGAATTTCAACTAGATTTGTAATGGCTGTGCCTTGTTTTTTTTAATCGATACTGTAAGTAGGACTAATCCTTACTATTTATTTCTTAATTGTCAAATTATGAAGTGTGAAGCCTTGCTTAGCAATTCTATCGGTCAAAAGTCTGACAACTTAAACAAACCATCTGTCAAGAATTTTATCAGTCACTGACCTGTGACCGATGTCCATCTGAAACAATGAGCCATATGAGGTAGCATGTAAACAGAGAGAGACTTACTGGTGTGACTGTTCTGAATTGGGTTGGTGGCCATATTGACATGTGGCCATTTTAACCTGTTCCCAGAGAAATGACTTGTGCCTCTATAATGTTTAATATGATTTTCTTCATCCTTTTCAAACCTCTAAGTTATACATGTAACATCCAGGACGCGATCTAGCATGTCTTGGATACAAAGACATGATTTACCGGTACATATGAACAAGCACAGGGATTATGTCCAGATTGCTGATATGTATTTAACATCAACATTTTTAATCAAAGATCACACAATGATCCTAGAACAAAAGATCTGAAGACTGTTCACACATTCCCATCCTTTAAAGTTCTACAATAATATGAGTGATCCATGACACAGGGATTTATCTGGAACACTTCAGAGGCTCATAGCTGGTCCTAAATCTGCAACAAATGCCAGTCAAAATTCCCAAATTGAAATTACAAACTTCCCATGTTATGTTACAGTGATGGCTTGGTGGAGGTGACTTGCTTTTCACTGATAATAGGACCAAAATAGAACAAGATAATACAAAGCTTAGTCATCCATTATTGCATTGAATGCAATGTAAACACACCTATGAGTTAGGGCAAATAAAATCTTTGACCTTACAAACAAAAATATCAATTTGGAACAAAATAACAATTTTTTTCCCAATTTGCCTGTCAAAGGCTCTTAGTTTACAATCCTGGGTTAAATCCTGAGACATTCATATAATCAAACTCCATGCGATAATCCGTTTATATAATCCATTAAACACATAGTTCTTCCATGACACACAAACTCATCAAATTCTTTCCCTCTATTTGTTGCCAAGTTTTACAAAAAACAGTGCTATTTGTAACACCGATACAATTCCCACCGAATGTGACAAAATGGTACCGTGCCAAAGATGTGCTGATGGATGGAAACAGATGTAGAAAATAATCCCCGGAAAGAAAATGCCCAAATGAAATCACAAAACTTACAAAACAGCACCGAAAAATCCTAAATCTCCTTCTAGTCATGGAAACGAGAAGGTAGGGTCCAAATGGTGAATATCCATGGACATGCTGATATCCGAATAGACCATCACTCATCACACACTGTCAATAACTGCTTGCAAAAAAACATGCAGAAAGGACACACAAGAATGTCTTACATATTTGGCACAGCCAGAAACACCCCACAATGTTGTAGTGAGCACAGGCCCCATCAGTTCCGCCCCTGTCGGCTACATTCTCTGAATGCAGCTCATGTGTTCCAGCATCGGTACCACTGTCGCGCTTTCAGTCCTTCCACTGTGTTCAAGGGACTACAGCCATTCCACATAGGGTAATCCCACTATCTGCACAAGGCTCCTTCACCTGCAAGCAGGGCGCATCTCCCCTCCTCTACATTAGCAGAGGGCTAAATATAGCCCACTTGCTTCCCCCATCACTGCATCAGTACACTGCACACAGATGACAGGGGTGCACTGGGGAGGGAGGATATGTGAGGAACTGCCTGTGTTAGCTGGTGTTATCCAGCAGAACAGTATAGTGTGTAGTGTCCGATATACAGGGGGGTCCTGAGGTCCTTGTGGTCTCCTATGGTGAGGTGAGGTGAAATTGGGTTTAACGTCTCGTCCAAGATTATTGCACTTATATAGCGATGTGCATGCACGTGTATGTGTGGCTGCTTATACTAGTCTGGACTGATGCCGATTTATAGTGCTAGCTCACTGAGATACCATGCCGCAGTTTAACATGAATACCCCACCCAGACACAGTATACAGACTCCGAGCCGACCAGCCCTTGTTTTAGCCCCTTAATGCCGAGCACCAGACAGGATAACAACAAGTACAATCTTTTAAAGTCCTTTTGTATGACGCGGCCGGGGATTGAACCCCGGACATTCCACACTCCGGGCCGACGCTCTTCCACCAGACCACAGAGGCGGTCGGTCTTCTATGGTATTTGAATCTATAGGAACCCCCAAACATGCTAAAGTGAGCGAGTGAGTTTGATTTTATGCCGCTTTTAGCAATAATCCAGCAATATCACTGCAGGGGACACCAGAAATGGGCTTCACACGTTGTACCCATGTCAGGAATCGAACCAGGGTCTTCAGCGTGACGAGCAAACGCTTTAACCACTAGGCTACCCAACCGCACCTCCAAACATGCTAAAACCTTTGACACTAGGGTAACATGCTAAAACTTTTGACACTAGGGTCATGACAAGGATCCCTCTACTCTTGTTTAATTTTAAATTAAGACTATCAAAGAATTAACATCGTCCTGAGCAACTTTATTGCAATTTTAGCCTGATTGATAATAATTAAATTTACTTTTTTTATAACAGTTTGCATAGACTTTTTATCTCATTGATGAAAATAGCATGTTTTTTCCACATGTTTACATAATGTTCATATGTCTGACATTCAACAAATCAATTATTGTTCACCATGTTCATATATCCACAACTCACGTGCATCCATTGTTAATAGATTTACTATTCACACATGATTGTAGATAGCAAAGATTCCCTGCAAGATAGTTGTATAAGTCCAAGCAGCCAAAAAAACAGACCCGTTAAGATCCGGGGTAGAATAGGTCTTCAGCAACTTATGCTTGCCGTAAAAAGCGACCATGCTTGTAGTAAGAGGCGACTAACGGGATAGGGTGGTCAGACTCGCTGACTTGGTTGATGCATGTCATCAATCCCAATTGCGTGGATCAATGTTCATGATGTAAATCACGAACATTTACATATTATCAAGACAAAGTTAATTAATAAATCGATATGGGCACTAGTCATAGTGAAGCCCAGAGTTTCAGATGGGTTCATTTTCTAGGACATTGACTGGTAGGTTTTCTAAGACATCCTGAAGACTTTTTTCAAATTTGGTATGCTGTTGATTTGCTAATGCCCTCTAAAAATGATAAAACCGTGAAAATGTTCTGTTGCTATTTGTCTCAAAATCCCCGCAACCATGGTAACCAGTGACAAAGATTACAGTTGAGAACCGAGACAGTTTCCACCATACTAACTTAGTCACTCTTAGTACTACAAACAAACACCCCCATTATGTTTCTAGGTTTGTCAGCACCATATCCGTGCTCGTGGTACACGTCTAAGACCTGAATCACTTCGAGCTTTCCTCCTACGATAAGCTGACATGCTGTGATATGATTGGAATACTGTTAAAAGCGGCGTTAAACCCAACTCACTCACAAACAAACCTGCAGTCACTGCCTTTAGTCACTGCTCTGAAGCCAAAAGCCAGGAATAGAAGGTTTCGTTTGGTCAAGTACACTCAGTTAATGAAAGTCCACGAAAACCATGGCATACAAGATACAATCTACTGATAATGATGCCAAGAGATGGTCGACAAATAAGACTCAGATGCTTTCAACACAGACTGAACAAGAGATAATATCAATAACAAATGCATATTTACTTTGTGCAGTGACCATGTCCTACAGCATGCTCAGGATGCTACACAATTAGTATCACAATCAAAGGATCAGTGTGCACTGAGTACACAACCCAGGCTGTCGTTTAGGATCTAGAAGGTTTAGCATTCTCATTCTCTGGGTACCCACTTTCTGGTGGGTGACAACGGATAATTTTGAAACAAAGTCACCAAACATCTCATAACCTGGGATTCAGGATTAGATACTCATAGCTCATTCTTTTCCAAACCTGCCGAAAGCACCAAAAGTAACTGCTCTGGACATGGGCACATCAGAGACTTCGCAACTGTTTTTCGTTCAATGCTGGTTGAAGAGAGGTTTACTTAAAAAAAAGACACTTGCTTAGCAAGAAGACACAACACATCCTACAACCTGTGATTCTGATACTCATAACTAAAAATAATAACCAATTTTTCTCCCAACAGCACCAGACAGAATATAACCCTGGGCTTTGATGCTTTCCAGCAAAACACAATAAACAGGATTAGTCTCCAGGCTCATATTTAGAGGTAAAGCTGAAACAACTATCATATTCCTGCAGTCGACCAGCAAAGCAACAAAAGAATGTTGACTCGTCAATCATACATTTTTCCACTTGATGGTCGGGACATTCAACTAATAACCATTTCAGCCTTGTTTACAGGTGCCAACATATTTTCAGGAAAACCTTTTAAACAGGAGCAGTGACGTAAGGATGTTTTCATCATTCAAACTTGATACTTATGCCATCCCAAACTTAGTGCCCATGGCACAGGCAGCTTCAGACAAGGCTCAGTCTGAAAATTTTTATTTGACTGAAACAATCCACTGCACATCAATCAAAAAAAAGTCCCAGTGAGATTAGAGGTGAAACGATTTATTGGTGCATCGGTGCATCGTTAGTTTTCATGCATCAATATGATACATGATACGTTTTCTTCTGTATCTATACAAGAAGATACACTTGCTAAAATTTATTACTTACTACTCGTTAAATGTTTGGTTGGTTTGTTGTTTATACCCGCACTCTGCAATATTCCAGCTATAGGACACCTACTCGTTTAATGACAACCCACCCCCACCCAGTAATTTTGTCATTCAAATATTGCAAAATGTGGTGTAATTAGCATTACAAGTTCAATACTAAAAATAGCAGCGACGAACATGTGTTTACAGATAGCTTTTCCTTTAGAACATGCTCCGAAACATTTATAGTCAAAACGTAAATATGTGTATCGCGATATATGTCATATCATTACCTATGTATCATGACCTTCCTGTATCGTTTCACCCCTAAGTGAGATGGTACATTCAGGACCTGTTGAAAATCTAGACTTGCTCTATTTCGGGCTATAGCATTACAGGAAGGGCTGGGCGGAAGGGAAAACAATATGGTTTAGAGTGTGAGACAGGCCATGATAGCCTTTGGAAAGCTAAAACAAGTCATCATCAACATGATCAAAATAAAGTGAGGTAAATAAAGAAAATTTCAATTCCAATTTGGGAATTTTACAGACAATTATGAAGGGTTCATTCTAGGAATTTTCTAACATGGGCCCTTTATGTGAAAATTTCAAATATTCCAGAGGTACAAACACACTTGCCCATACAACAAAATGAGAAAATGCCCCATTGTATTTGAAAAAGTGGGCTTTTTTTTTAAATTTAGCACGAGTCCCCACGCTAGAATTATCCCACTAACTGACCATGCTGACATTTACTGAAGATGTTGACGAAATAATCGCCTCTGATAATACCAAGATAAAATCTCTGGCTACATCATATCAACATGCTTGACATGCTTGAAGCATTCTGCACTTGTACACTTATTATTTGGAAAGAAATTTTCATTTCTTGTTATCCAAACGAATAGGGTAAATCAATGGCTGTGTATTTCTACTAAAAAAGGTAAAATGGAATAACTGAAATCAGAGACCATATACCGATATATATGGTCTCTGCTGAAATATAAAAAGAGCCTAATAATGAGTGAGAAATTATAGCTACTGTAACCCTGCTTACTGCGTAGGGTACTAGTTGGGCTTTACAGCTAAGAAGTGATAGCTATCAGTCACTCTCTGCCCACACACACACGATCTGCAGGTTCAAGCTTGATGCAGAACTGGTTTGGTTTAGACCAGATATCTGACTTAGTCTCAGGGAGTAGTCCAACTCGATAGCGACTGATGGGTCTATTGCATCTGTGCACAAATTCTCTTCTTGCACATCTCTTTTATGTTAGTCTAAATGAATGAAAACCGACACCAGTTGCCTGGCGACCACGTGCGTATTCCAAACACGGTCAAAGCCGAAAGGGGAAGGATCCTTCACACAAAATCGTATTTTGAAAACTTGCAATCGCATCAATATTTCATTGGCAAGATAAAAAAGGCAATACATACGCCAAACCCAGTGTATGAATGTTCCCCAAAACAATGGAGTTCGCACAACTGTTTTAGAGATGAGTAGACACAATAAATGGTCTAGACAGTCAAACAAATCTTAACTTTTATCAGCATCCTTGAAAACATTGGGCCTTTGAGCAGCTGACGAGGAAATTATCTTTATTGCAGGAATTAAGTTCCGTTTTCGAATCAATATTTCATAAACAGTTATCCTAATTATATGTGAATTCGTTGGCCTGTCCGGGTGACCGATTTACTGTAAATCTTGGCAACACTTACTCGCTGACCTACGTTCTCGTCTTGTCGTGTCTTCGCTTCAGGCAGCTGCCATGTTATGACGTCACGAGCAAGTACCTGCACGAAGTTCCAACACGATTACCTCCCCTGATCATATCGCGGCGGCGGTCTCTTTCTCTAAAACCGACATTCAATTCGCCCCATAAAATAATGTGTCTCTTAGGGAAGAATTATTTTAAATGCATCTATGAGAATGTTCCATTCAGATAGCATATGTCCACAAAGCAAAACGTATAACTAATCCACTTGGG